CACTCGCCTCCGGTGACTGGCTGACTGGTGCGTCCCGTCTCAGAGTGCTGTCGCTCGCTGAGCCTTCAACTCCCGTCCTCTCTCTCTCTATGTGTCGTTGTTGGTGATCTTCCTGCTGTCATGGCTGCCACCTGGCTGCTGTCATGGCTGCCACCTGGCTGCTGTCATGGCTGCCACCTGGCTGCTGTCACGGCTGCCACCTGGCTGCTGTCACGGCTGCCACCTGGCTGCTGTCACGGCTGCCACCTGGCTGCTGTCATGGCTGCCACCTGGCGGGTGTCATGGCTGCCACCTGGCTGCTGTCATGGCTGCCACCTGGCTGCTGTCATAGCTGCCACCTGGCTGCTGTCACGGCTGCCACCTGGCTGCTGTCACGGCTGCCACCTGGCTGCTGTCATGGCTGCCACCTGGCGGGTGTCATGGCTGCCACCTGGCTGCTGTCATGGCTGCCACCTGGCTGCTGTCATGGCTGCCACCTGGCTGCTGTCATGGCTGCCACCTGGCTGCTGTCACGGCTGCCACCTGGCTGCTGTCACGGCTGCCACCTGGCGGGTGTCTGGGTGGTGTGTTGTGGCGGCTGTTGATCCCACCCAAGTCTTCCCGAGGTGTCGTGCGGCTGAGCCAAGTCTTCACCATCATTATCACTATCACCACCACCACAACCACCATCACCATCCCCACAACCCCCCATCACCATCGTCACCATCACCACAACCACCGTCACCATCACCGTCACCACCCCCCATCACCACAGCCCCGTCTCCCTCCCCACCACCACCACCACCACCACCACCACCACCACCACCACCACCACCACCACCACCACACCCTGGTGGCATGATAGCCTGCCACGTTTTACCGTCAGTTGTGTCACAAAGGTAAAATTCAGGTGACCTTTCCAGCCTTGACATGACCTTCGCCCGCTCCTCCAGATGATCTTCCGGCCATGTTGTCTCCGCTACCCCCCCCCCCTTTCCCACCCCCCCTTCCCTTCCTTCCTTCCTTCCTTCCTTCCTTCCTTCCTTCCTTCCTTCCTTCCTTCCTTCCTTCCTTCCTTCCTTCCTTCCTTCTCACGTCTTAAGTCTTCCAGTGCATACCTATTTCTCCACTTCTCTCCTATGCTTCTCTCTCTCTCTCTCTCTCTCTCTCTCTCTCTCTCTCTCTCTCTCTCTCTCTCTCTCTCTCTCTCTCGCTCTCTCTCTCTCTCTCTCTCTCTCTCTCTCTCTCTCTCTCTCTCTCTCACTCTCTCGGTACATGTGGCAGTGGAGAGAGTGAGAGTAATTGTCATATGACAGTGACACAGCAGGACACGACTTCTCGTTAAGATGGTGAAGTGAGCTGTTTATCCCTGACACGCTGTGGCACGTCTGAGGAGACGCTGTGGCACGTCTGAGGAGACGCTGTGGCACGTCTGAGGAGACGCTGTGGCACGTCTGAGGAGACTGTGGCACGTCTGAGGAGACGCTGTGGCACGTCTGAGGACACGCTGTGGCACGTCTGAGGACACGCTGTGGCACGTCTGAGGAGACTGTGACACGTCTGAGGAGACTGTGGCACGTCTGAGGAGACTGTGGCACGTCTGAGAAGACTGTGGCACGTCTGAGGAGACTGTGGCACGTCTGAGAAGACTGTGGCACGTCTGAGAAGACAGTGGCACGTCTGAGGAGACGCTGTGGCACGTCTGAGGAGACTGGCACGTCTGAGGAGACTGGCACGTCTGAGGAGACTGTGGCACGTCTGAGGAGACTGTGGCACGTCTGAGGAGACGCTGTGGCACGTCTGAGGAGACTGTGGCACGTCTGAGGAGACTGTGGCACGTCTGAGGAGACTGTGGCACGTCTGAGGAGACTGTGGCACGTCTGAGAAGACTGTGGCACGTCTGAGGAGACGCTGTGGCACGTCTGAAGTGACGCTGTGGCACGTCTGAGGAAATGCTGTGGCACGTCTGAGGAGACTGGCACGTCTGAGGAGACTGGCACGTCTGAGGAGACTGGCACGTCTGAGGAGACTGGCACGTCTGAGGAGACTGGCACGTCTGAGGAGACTGTGGCACGTCTGAGAAGACTGTGGCACGTCTGAGGAGACTGGCACGTCTGAGGAGACTGGCACGTCTGAGGAGACTGGCACGTCTGAGGAGACTGGCACGTCTGAGGAGACTGTGGCACGTCTGAGAAGACTGTGGCACGTCTGAGGAGACTGTGGCACGTCTGAGAAGACTGTGGCACGTCTGAGGAGACGCTGTGGCACGTCTGAAGTGACGCTGTGGCACGTCTGAGGAGACGCTGTGGCACGTCTGAGGAGACTGGCACGTCTGGGAAGACTGTGGCACGTCTGAGGAGACTGGCACGTCTGGGAAGACTGTGGCACGTCTGAGGAGACTGGCACGTCTGAGAAGACTGTGGCACGTCTGAGGAGACTGGCACGTCTGGGAAGACTGTGGCACGTCTGAGGAGACTGGCACGTCTGAGAAGACTGTGGCACGTCTGAGGAGACTGGCACGTCTGGGAAGACTGTGGCACGTCTGAGGAGACTGGCACGTCTGGGAAGACTGTGGCACGTCTGAGGAGACTGGCACGTCCGGGGAAGACTGTGGCACGTCTGAGGAGACTGTGGCACGTCTGAGGACACTATGGACCAGGAGGCGGGACACAGGCACCAGCTAGATACTGTACCTGAGTCACCGCTGTGTGTACTCATCTAGTTGTTCTTGCGGGGGTTGAGTTTCGGCTCTTTGGTCCCGCCTTATATTTCACCTGCCAATCAACTGTGTGTGTGTGTGTGTATGTGTGCGTGTGTGTGTGTGTGTGCGTGTGTGTGTGTGTGCGTGTGTGTGTGTGTGCGTGTGTGTGTATAAACACCGACGGACAGTGTCCCGATCGTCACTATAACAAACTTGACAGCCTCACTCAGTCCTCGGTGCCGTCACCACCCCGTCCTCGGTGGTGACGGCAGCGTCCATCACCGCAGGTGATGACTCCTGACACGTAACAGAGACAATGAATACTGTCTCATCATATTCAAGGTGCCAGGCTGTTAGCCAGGATTCGAACTTATGCGGTGGGTGTTCCCAGACGCTCTGGGGCTTTTTTCGTAGTGATACATCACGTTACCTTGAGGAGCTTCCGGGGCTTAGCGTCCCCGCGGCCCGGTCGTCGACCAGGCCTCCTCGCGTTACTGTGATTTCTGTGTGTAATGAAAAAAGTTATACAAACACAGCAACCAAAACTATACACAAATACACAATACAGCTGGGGATATAGAGATACATAATAAAGTGAGCTAAGGACAGAGCCATACACACACACAAGGGGACACAGATGGAAACTGAGTGCCCAAATGAGCCACAGAGATATTAGAAAGAACTTTTTTAGTGTCAGAGTGGTTGACAAATGGAATGCATTAGGAAGTGATGTGGTGGAGGCTGACTCCATACACAGTTTCAAGTGTAGATATGACAGAGCCCAATAGGCTCAGGAATCTGTACACCTGTTGAATGACGGTTGAGAGGCGGGACCAAAGAGCCAGAGCTCAACCCCCGCAAACACAACTAGGTGAGTACACACACACACACACACACACACACACACACACACACACACACACACACACACACACACACACAGGGGCGAGTCACACACACAGGGGCGAGTCACACACGTGTCACACTCGCTCTACCCATGTAACGTAACACTTACTCCTGTGGACCATCACATCCGCCTCGGCCAGCATAAGGAGAAGGGAGAAACTATGGTAATATGTGAGAGGGAGGGGCGAGCCAGCCACCTGCGGCGTCTGCACCTGGGGTAAGATCCCCTCCCACGTCCCCCCCCCACACTCCCCCCTCCCCCCACAACGTTCCGTCCCCACTTCCCCCACCCCCTCCCCTCCCCACCACCCTCCTGATTAGGGCCTTGAGCATCTTCATCTCCCTCTCTCCCTCCTGCCCCCCGCACGCAAGGACTTCCTGGTGTATATGGCAATGATAATAGCAACATTTCTTGAGATAATGTTAATGGAGAGCGGCGCTCCTCACTCCCCAGGCGCCTCCTCCGCCACACCTGGCCTCCGCCGCTTGACTTAATAACTCGCAGGAAGACGACTAAGTGTCTCAGTATCTTAGGAACACCGGAGAAGATAATTAATACACATGGTGTTAATCTTACAGAGGCTGGCTGGCTGGCTCTCTGGGGCCACCAGCGGCCTGGAGTGCCAGATATGATGCCACACTCAGCACATGTGACACCGTTACAAACATGTTATTATAGGGATGCTGACAACTCTGCTTCAGCAAAAGGTATTTTCCCACCCTTAACCACACCCTTGACCCCAAGATCCTGTGCAGCCAATCACAGTTGACCTTGACCCCTCCCCCCCCCCCCCCCTTCCCTCAGCGAATCACGTACAATCCTCCAAAGGTCATATTTACTTAATGCATCATGTTTGGTACGCATCCATACATATACAGCTGTATCAAGTCTGAGGACAAGTGTGTATTTTATTTCACCCCCCAAAAAAACATTTGAACTAATAAGACAGGTGAGGGCAGACACCCACACACACCTGAGACCACTACCCTGTGCTTGCTCAAACAGCTTAGTTGCTCACACGCTAATAAGAAGGTACAGATAACGGTACACTAACGCCAGTGGCCGCGTTAGGGTTATCACCTTCACGGCTCCTGAGGTAGTGGTTAACAGTCGTAGTTACTGCGAGTGTCTTATCTTCCTCCTTGTGAGCTGTTTACCACCGTGGCTAGCCTGTGTTCTGGGGCTTGTATAGTGGATAGTGTGCCGTGGATAGTGTGGCGTGGATAGTGTGGCGTGGATAGTGTGGCGTGGATAGTGCAGCGTGGATAGTGAGCCGTGTACAGGGTGTAGAGAGCATGGACAGTAACCTCAGGCGACCGTCATATGCTGCTACCGTCACTCACTCTCAACACTCCCGTCAACCCCCCCCCCCTGTCATATCTTCCTTCCTGTATTCCGTGGACAGATGCGGGCATGGAGAGCGGGTGGTGCCGCGGGCGTGGGCGGTGCGGGCGTGGGTGGTGTTCCCGGGAGACGCGGCAGGCGGGCGTACAACTGGTGCTGTTGTGTGTAGCGTCCTGCTCCTGGACTCTCCTGCTCATCTCCCTCACCCTCACCTCAACCACCACACCAGCCCACAGGTAAGCCGGCTCCTCAACTTCTAAGCAACAGCGAGCCAGCCGCTGGTTCGAGAACCCCCTCCAGCAATAACAAAGCTATGTATGTTATACATTTATAATCTTCCAGTGTCTTCCAGGCGAGAGTGGACATAGCAAATAATTACGAACTGGAAACAGGTGATTAATACTCTTTATAATAGAATTGTAGTGACTATATTTTTTGTATAATAAAAGGAGTATTTGTGCAATTTTCAGGACAACATGGAAGCCAGGAGCTGAAGCTGCTCACTTGTGCATGTATATATATATGACTAGATGGTTATCTTGAGGTTATCTTGAGATTACCTTGAGATGATTCCGGGGCTTAGCGTCCCCGCGGCCCGGTCCTCGACCAGGCTTCCTTTATGTTACACAGCCCCCCAGAAAGCAGCCCGTAGCAGCTGTCTAACTCCCAGGTACTTATTTACTGCTAGGTGAACAGGGACATCAGGGTGAAAGAAAGCGCTGTTCACTGAGACGTCAGGCCCCTTGAACAGACCTATGATGACCGAGATTCTCTCAATAAAATTTACGTTATCACAAGGCTACTGGGGATCATTTATGCCCAGACGCGAACATGGCTCCACTCACCGGGTCAGGTAATGCTTATACTCACAGCCACTATACACAGCAGATACACACAGAATACACAGCCACTATACACAGCAGATACACACAGAATACACAGCCACTATACACAGCAGATACACACAGAATACACAGCCACTATACACAGCAGATACACACAGAATACACAGCCACTATACACACCAGATACACACAGAATACACAGCCACTATACACAGCAGATACACACAGAATACACAGCCACTATACACACCAGATACACACAGAATGCACAGCCACTATACACACCAGATACACACAGAATACACAGCCACTATACACACCAGATACACACAGAATACACAGCCACTATACACAGCAGATACACACAGAATACACAGCCACTATACACACCAGATACACACAGAATACACAGCCACTATACACAGCAGATACACACAGAATACACAGCCACTATACACAGCAGATACACACAGAATACACAGCCACTATACACACCAGATACACACAGAATACACAGCCACTATACACAGCAGATACACACAGAATACACAGCCACTATACACACCAGATGCACACAGAATACACAGCCACTATACACAGCAGATACACACAGAATACACAGCCACTATACACACCAGATACACACAGAATACACAGCCACTATACACACCAGATACACACAGAATACACAGCCACTATACACAGCAGATACACACAGAATACACAGCCACTATACACACCAGATACACACAGAATACACAGCCACTATACACACCAGATACACACAGAATACACAGCCACTATACACAGCAGATACACACAGAATACACAGCCACTATACACACCAGATACACACAGAATACACAGCCACTATACACAGCAGATACACACAGAATACACAGCCACTATACACACCAGATGCACACAGAATACACAGCCACTATACACAGCAGATACACACAGAATACACAGCCACTATACACACCAGATACACACAGAATACACAGCCACTATACACACCAGATACACACAGAATACACAGCCACTATACACACCAGATACACACAGAATACACGGCCACTATACACAGCAGATACACACAGAATACACAGCCACTATACACAGCAGATACACACAGAATACACAGCCACTATACACACCAGATACACACAGAATACACAGCCACTATACACAGCAGATACACCCAGAATACACAGCCACTATACACACTAAATACACCCAGAATCAAACCATCAACTTCAACAAACCTCACATTAAGTATATTTAATGTGTGACCACTACAACAACCTCAGCTGGCAGCTACGAATCAACACCGAGACGGATGAGTTCACTCTCAATGTAACATAATAGTTTACCCCTACAACACAAATGGAAAAAATATAGAAAAGGTTATATTTCAGCAAATAATAAAGACCCTCCAGCAAGATGATGATGATAATACAAGCCGTTGATGCCACCTTGAAGTTACTCTGAGATGGTTCCTAGGATCAATGTCCCCGCGGCCCGATCTCTGACCATCCTTGTAAACAAAAAACATGAATCAGCGATCCACCATTTTAGTAAACTCAGCACAATATGAAATATGTTTCTGACAGCCGTGTTCTCTATTCAGTTAAATGTACAGTTACGTGAAGATAACTTTTAAGTCACTTCCAGTCTCCTTGGTCAGTTGTGGCTCAGGAGGAGCAGAATGGTGTTGCGGTCTGCTGCAGGATCGAACTATAGATGATATAACCAAAATACTTGATTATAAATGGTTTAATTTTTCTTTGCCCTGCAGGCAGGTGGTGGAGGTTGTTGGTGGGTCAGGGCCCCAGTGGTCGGGGGGCAGTGCCGGGGCCTGCGAGGAGTGCCTGGCCAGACGAGGGCCCCCACACTCCTACTGGAGGGTGTTCGAGAGGCCGCTGCGGCAGGTGGTGGCCGCCCTCACCCGCCTGGACCGCCCCCTGGCGCCACCTGCCTTCCGCGCTCACCTCCTCGGCACCAGAACCTTACTGCGTCACCTGGCTTCCGTCCTGCACCTGCGGGTCATGGACGGCGCTGACGGCGGCACCGACAGACGGGAGACAGAGGCGGCGGTGCTGGCGGCGCCGGGGCAGCCACACGGACGGCTGGCGTGCCCGGAGCGCTTCCTGGGCTCCAAAGTGGGTTACCCGCGCTACGCGCAAGGCTTCTCCCGCGTCAACTGTTCCGCTCTGGCGCTGAAGGAGGCGGTGACGGCCGTGGTGTGGGACGTCGACCACGGCCGCCTCGCCGGCCTCCTCTCGGACTTCAGGCGGATATACCCGGGTGTGTCCGTGGCGGTGGTGGCGGCGGGCGCCACGCCGGGGCTGCGGGCCCAGCCGCCCACGCCCTCACTGGCGCACGCAATAACCAGAATTTTGAGTGGCGTGACGACGCCGTACGTGCTCCTCGCCCCGCGTCTGTCCCAGTTGAGTGGACACGCGCGTCTGGAGAGACTGTTGTGGGTGGCCGAGTGGGCGGGGGTGTGGGCGGTGGGCGGCTCGGTGAGGGGCGTGGACGGGCGGTGGCGGGCCGGATGTGTCCAGGCGGTGGAGGGGGGCGGGCAGCTGGCGTACGGGAGGGGTTACGACGCCTCGGTGTACGAGTGCCAGCTGTGCCACACGCTGGAGGGCCCGCTGGTCATGCGCACCGCCGCCCTCGCCGCCCTCAAGTGGCCCAGCCACACCTCGCCCGACCACCTCCTCCTCCCGGAGCTCTTCCTGGAGGCTCACGCCGGCGCCGCCCCTCACCAGCACGCCGCAGCCGCGTGCCCGGACGCCATGTTCCTGCAGGCGACGCTGGAGCCGCCGTGGGAGGTGGCGGCGTCGCCCCGCCACCGCCAGAGGGAGCTGCGGCGGGTGGCGGCGCTGTGGCGGCCGCTGGCCAGGCGGCGCCACCTGGCCCGCCTTCACCTGCCCTCAGGGGTCACCATCAACTACCCCTGTGACTACCTCCCGGCCGCCCGCCCACTGTACCCCGCGCCCATCACGCCCACAGACACCACCAGCCTGGCGGCGTGGGCGTGCGAGGGGCGGGAGCTGGCCACTATACTGTCAGCACTGGTGCGGGCGTGTGACTCCCTGCAGGTGAAGTGCTTCCTGCGGGACCCTACGGTATCAGGTGAGTCTTGGCCACGCCCTCAGGTGTCACCATCACCCTCCCTCCCTCCCTCAGGTGTCACAATCACCCTCCCTCCCTCAGGTGTCACCATCACCCTCCCTCCCTACCTCAGGTGTCACCATCACCCTCCCTCCCTCAGGTGTCACCATCACCCTCCCTCCCTACCTCAGGTGTCACCATCACCCTCCCTCCCTCCCTCAGGTGTCACAATCACCCTCCCTCCCTCCCTCAGGTGTCACAATCACCCTCCCTCCCTCCCTCAGGTGTCACAATCACCCTCCCTCCCTCCCTCAGGTGTCACCATCACCCTCCCTCCCTCCCTCAAGTGTCACCATCACCCTCCCTCCCTCAGGTGTCACAATCACCCTCCCTCCCTCCCTCAGGTGTCACAATCACCCTCCCTCCCTCCCTCCCTCAGGTGTCACAATCACCCTCCCTCCCTCCCTCAGGTGTCACCATCACCCTCCCTCCCTCCCTCAGGTGTCACCATCACCCTCCCTCCCTCAGGTGTCACCATCACCCTCCCTCCCTCCCTCCCTCAGGTGTCACCATCACCCTCCCTCAGGTGTCACCATCACCCTCCCTCCCTCCCTCCCTCAGGTGTCACCATCACCCTCCCTCAGGTGTCACCATCACCCTCCCTCAGGTGTCACCATCACCCTCCCTCAGGTGTCACCATCACCCTCCCTCAGGTGTCACCATCACCCTCCCTCAGGTGTCACCATCACCCTCCCTCAGGTGTCACCATCACCCTCCTTCCTCCCTCACAACCACCACAATCATCTGGTCAAATTTAAATCAAATTTTTGTTCTTATATACAACGTTAATATTAAATGGTAATAATTTATCAACTTCATAAAGGGTCATCATGAAATAGCAGAATTAGTGTTCTTTTCCCGTCATGTTTCGTTTAATTCTTCGTACATCATTACCGTTAATAAGTGTACAGCTGGCGCGCCAGAACACATCGTCTAGTTCCCTCATACCTTCGTTCACACTTCGCCTCTATGGCGCCTCCTCAGTCACTCATACGAAATGAAATAACTTGATCCAAAACTAACTAAAAAAAAATTAATTATAATTTATGCAACACCGACCCCACCAAAGACAAATAAATAAAATAAATAAATCGATTCACGTGAATATATATATATATATATATATATATATATATATATATATATATATATATATATATATATATATATATATATATATATATATATATATATATATGTCGTACCTAGTAGCCAGAACGCACTTCTCGGCCTACTATGCAAGGCCCGATTTGCCTAATAATCAAAGTTTTCATGAATTAATTGCTTTTCGACTACCTAACCTAACTTTTTCGGCTACCTAACCTAACCTAACCTATAAAGATAGGTTAGGTTAGGTTAGGTAGGGTTGGTTAGGTTCGGTCATATATCTACGTTAATTTTAACTCCAATAAAAAAAAATTGACCTCATACATAATGAAATGGGTAGCTTTATCATTTCATAAGAAAAAAATTATAGAAAATATATTAATTCATGAAAACTTGGCTTATTAGGCAAATCGGGCCTTGCATTGTAGGCTGAGAAGTGAGTTCTGACTACTAGGTACGGGAGTTGGAGGGGAGGACGGTGGAGCTAGGGGTGGGCTCCGGGAGGTGCTGCCCAGTATCCTGCACGTCGCTAACATGTCCCACTACGGTACCTCCCTCGGTCAGTGTCTCTCTCTCTCCCTCTCTCTCATTATTTAGTAGTAAGTAAATGTTTCCCTTCATTTTATATTATATCGTATAGTTATGATTATTAATATGATGCTCACCACGACACACATATATATATATATATATATATATATATATATATATATATATATATATATATATATATATATATATATATATATATCTTCATCATTACAATCTTAGTGAAGATGGAGTCTTTTCCTTAGAGAGGCTGGAATGGTTTGTATGATTTGCCATTTCATGGATTGGGCTGAGGCTCGACCGTAATCTTCCCGTGACCATCCCCAACCCAACACCAGTCACCCTGCATAGTTTGGTGAGACTTGCCTCTAGCGTCAGTCCTCGAACAGAGACATTCTCTCCTATAGATATATACAGAGAAGAACAACACCGTTTGTTGCTCTATTAGATCACCGATTATATATCCTTCCCGCCGTCACTATCTCCTTCCTTTATCTGTCACCTCATTCTCATCTCTCTCCATCCTTTCTCCCTTTTACCTTCCCTCCAACATTCTCTCACGTTCCTCTTCCACTTTTCTCCCCCACTGTTACAGTCTCCATTCCATCTCTCCCACATCCACTGTCCTTGCCAGAGCGTGTCTCGCCCCACCAACACCGTCTAGACAGGTGAGGATGCTGTCAGGTGGGGGGAGGGTGACGGAAAATGGCGCCGTGTCGCGTAAACACATTAATCACACTCCTACGCCAAGCTAACAGCGCCGGGGAATGGTTCTCGCGTCACCCCGGGAAGGATTGAGCGCGGGCCACTCTCCTCTACCCCCGCTGGTCGCGGTGGCGGGGCTCCGGCCACGGTAGCTGTGCTCACGGTGCTCACAATGAGGCGCTCACGGGTCAAGTGACATGAGGACCGGTGTTACCCGTGACGCAGCCCTGAGTGACGCGTGACGCAGCCCTGAGTGACCCGTGACGCAGTCCCGAGTGACGCGAGCCAGATGTAACTGTTCATCTTGCTGGTTTTCAGGAGCGGTGTGGGAGTTGGAGGGGAGGACGGTGGAGCTAGGGGTGGGCTCCGGGGAGGTGCTGCCCAGTATCCTGCACGTCGCTAACATGTCCCACTACGGTACCTCCCTCGGTCAGTGTCTCAGTCTCTCTCTCTCTCTTTCTCTCTCTCTCTCATTATTTAGTAGTAAGCAAATGTTTTCCTTCATTTTATATTATATCGTATAGTTATGATTATTAATATGATGCTCACCACGACACACTCCACCACGACACACTCCTCCACGACCCACTCCTCCACGACACACTCCTCCACGACACATCCCTCCACGACACACTCCTCCACGACACATCCCTCCACGACACACTCCACCACGACACACTCCTCCACGACACACTCCACCACGACACACTCCACCACGACACACTCCTCCACGACCCACTCCTCCACGACACACTCCTCCACGACACATCCCTCCACGACACACTCCTCCACGACACATCCCTCCACGACACACTCCACCACGACACACTCCTCCACGACACATCCCTCCACGACACACTCCTCCACGACACATCCCTCCACGACACACTCCTCCACGACACATCCCTCCACGACACACTCCACCACGACACACTCCTCCACGACACACTCCTCCACGACACACTCCACCACGACACACTCCACCACGACACACTCCACCACGACACACTCCACCACGACACACTCCTCCACGACACACTCCACCACGACACACTCCTCCACGACACACTCCTCCACGACACACTCCTCCACGACACACTCCACCACGACACACTCCACCACGACACACTCCTCCACGACACACTCCACCACGTCACACTCCTCCACGACACACTCCTCCACGACACACTCCACCACGACACACTCCACCACGATACACTCCTCCACGACACATCCCTCCACGACACACTCCTCCACGACACATCCCTCCACGACACACTCCACCACGACACACTCCACCACGACACACTCCACCACGACACACTCCACCACGACACACTCCACCACGACACACCCCTCCACGACACACTCCTCCACGACACACTCCTCCACGACACACTCCTCCAAGACACACTCCTCCACGACACACTCCACCACGACACACTCCTCCACGACACACCCCTCCACGACACACTCCTCCACGACACACTCCTCCACGACACACTCCTCCACGACACACTCCTCCACGACACACTCCACCACGACACACTCCTCCACGACACACCCCTCCACGACACACTCCACCACGACACACTCCTCCACGACACACTCTTCCACGACACACGGTGTAGCCATTAACTCTGTGCATTATATCCCCTGTTTCAGAGGGAGGAGGTCTGCGGGTGGAGGGCAGGTGGTGGGCGGTGACCATTACGCCCACACAACACCCTTCCCACGCCCACTGGTCCAGGTAAGACTCCCACGCCCACCTGCCCAGGTACACACACTCGTATATTCTTGTATTAAATGCAAATATAGCCACCGTGATTACGGAAAGATGTACAGGTTTCGTTAAGTGGCTGTTCAAATGATGACTCCTACGCCAGACTCATTTTTTTTCTTGTAGGGTGGAGGTGGTGGCGGAGGTGTGGGTGTGGGCGGCGCTGCCGACCGCGGAAGATATGGGCGTGCGGGCGGACGCCCTCCCACACACGCTGGACATTCTGGATACCTCGGAGGTCGAGGCCATGGCTCTGCTCACCTCTCCAAGATGTGCTCAGGGGCGCAGCTCCCACCTCGCCCTCAGCTCACCCTAACCCCACCCTTCTAAGGTCGTCTTTACCCACCCTTTACGACGTCTTAAATTGGCCCCCTTAGCTCGTCTTGAACTACCTCTTAAACCCTGTTGACCTCCATTTTATATCTGAATGACACCTTAGATAATCCTTAACTACTCTTTAGAGCTAAATTGCCATTTTGAGGTCAACTGTTACCCCTATTAGGTTACCCCTAAGGTCACCTATTGCCCCAATTTGGTCACCAATTACCCATATTAGATCACTAGTTAGGTTACATTTTGAACTTATCTTAAGAATTTTTGGTAATATTTAAAGCGCTCTAAAATTACCTTATACAAATATAACTTCCAATTGTTCCCATAACTTAGTCCTGTACTGACCTAAGCTGACCCCAAGCTGGCTCCTGCTGACCCCAAGCTGATCAATCTGACCCCAAGCTGATCAAGCTGACCCCAAGTTGATCAAGCTGACCCCAAGCTGATCAAGCTGACCCCAAGCTGATCAAGCTGACCCCAAGTTGATCAAGCTGACCCCAAGCTGATCAAGCTGACCCCAAGCTGGCTCCTGCTGACCCCAAGCTGATCAATCTGACCCCAAGCTGATCAAGCTGACCCCCAAGCTGATCAAGCTGACCCCCAAGCTGATCAAGCTGACCCCAAGCTGATCAAGCTGACCCCAAGCTGATCAAGCTGACCCCAAGCTGATCAAACTGACCCCAAGCTGATCAATCTGATCAAGCTGACCCCCAAGCTGATCAAGCTGATCAAGCTGACCCCAAGCAGACCCCCAAGCTGATCAAGCTGACCCCCAAGCTGATCAAGCTGACCCCAATGTGATCAAGCGTATGAAGGGCGTCAACAAAGAGGACGTCCAGTGTCAGACGTCACTACATTCACTTCTCTATGCAAGCCGTTGAAGCGTGTGTGTGTGTGTGTGTCCAGGTGGTGGTGGTCACGCTGCCCCACACTACACCAAGCTTCTTATTCCGTCAAGGAGTGTGTCAAGGGGCTGCGTTTATGCTTAAGCTTTGTACTTGGGAGAATTTGTTCAGTATTTTATTACCTTAAAAGCCTAAGATTGTAAACAACACAAATATATATATATATATATATAAATATATATATATATATATATATATATATATATATATATATATATATATGTGTAAATATACATTTACATGCACTAATATATAAATATAAGTCAAGTATATCATTGTAGTACATTTGTAATTGGGAAAGTGTACATAAAGTGTAGAATATATTAATTCATAATTATATGTTAATATAGCACAAACGGTTTAAATCAATGATTCAAGACGAATCTTTTTCTATTTTTAGTTACGTTTTCATTCACTTGAAAAGTTGAAAATTTAACCCTCCAAAGTTCCTTGTACCATTAAAAGCCTGACGCTTAAAAACGCGTTTTCTTAACGCTTGTCAACATTATCAAAGTAAGAGTTCAAGTGGATACAAGTTTTGTTTGATGAACATTAAGCCAACCGAGAGGTGGCACGGGCATGAATAGCCCCGTGATACAAGTTTTTGAGCAGCCGGGAATGAGGGGAGGGTGAAGCACTTATGATAATGATGACAAGGGTCAATGAAACGCATCTGTAAGAGTCAGCCATAATAATATTTGCAAAATTAACTTTGATGAGTTACTTTTTCAACTACCTTCTCAAGTGTAGGAAAACCTTAAGAAAAATAGAGAAGATTCGTCCAGAATCATTGATCTCACCTTCCTGCCATATTCAATAATGTATTTCAACTAAATATAGTTGGGGGACTAACTATAGTATAGTGAAATTTGTCTGATATATAATGAGAGAGAGAGAGAGAGAGAGAGAGAGAGAGAGAGAGAGAGAGAGAGAGAGAGAGAGAGAGAGAGAGAGAGAGAGAGAGAGAGAGAGAGAGAGAGACAGAGAGAGAGAGACAGAGAGAGAGAGAGAGAGAGAGAAAGAGAGAGAGAGCGAGAGAGAGAGCGAGAGAGAGAGCGAGAGAGAGAAACAGAGAGACAGAGAGAGAGAGAGAGAGAGAGAGAGAGAGAGAGAGAGAGAGAAGAGAGAGAGAGCGAGAGAGAGAGCGAGAGAGAGAGCGAGAGAGAGAAACAGAGAGACAGAGACAGAGTAAGAACAGGAGAAAGTTACAGTCAAAATTGCAGGTATTCCCTGTGGACGGAGCGGGTCATGGACCTTTCCTCAGACCCCCAGAGCACGTCCTAGTGGTGTGGTGGAGGTCGTAGTGGTGTGGTGGAGGTCGTGGTGGTGTGGTGGAGGTCGTAGTGGTGTGGTGGAGGTCGTGGTGGTGTGGTGGAGGTCGTGGTGGTGTGGTGGAGGTCGTAGTGGTGTGGTGGAGGTCGTAGTGGTGTGGTGGAGGTCGTAGCAGTGTGTGGTACAAACAAAAGCTATTCAATATCTAGTGAGCTTTATTTTTACCACTTACTGACATTTTCCTGCTAATGGAGCAAGGCGTTTAGATGGTCATGGCACCTGCAAATGACCATGGCAACTGTAGATGGTCATGGCAACTGTAGATGGTCATGGCACCTGTTGATGGCCATGGCACCTGTAGATGGCTCTGGCACCTGTAGATGACTCTGGCACCTGTAGATGACCATGGCAACTGTAGATGGCCATGGCATCTGTAGATGGCTCTGGCACCTGTAGATGACTCTGGCACTTGTTGATGGCCATGGCACCTGTAGATGGCCATGGCACCTGTAGATGGCTCTGGCACCTGTAGATGGCCATGGCACCTGTAGATGGCCATGGCACCTGTAGATGACCATGGCACCTGTAGATGGCTCTGGCACCTGTAGATGGCTCTGGCACCTGTTGATGGCCATGGCACCTGTAGATGGCTCTGGCACCTGTTGATGGCAATGGCAACTGTAGATGGACATGGCACCTGTAAATGGCTCTGGCACCTGTAGATGGCCATGGCACCTGTAGATGGCTCTGGCACCTGTAGATGACTCTGGCACCTGTAGATGACCATGGCAACTGTAGATGGCCATGGCAACTGTAGATGGCCATGGCACCTGTAGATGGCCATGGCACCTGTAGATGGCCATGGCACCTGTAGATGGGCATGGCAACTGTAGATGGCCATGGCACCTGTAGATGGGCATGGCAACTGTAGATGTCCATGGCACCTGTAGATGGCCATGGCAACTGTAGATGGCCATGGCAACTGTAGATGGCCATGGCACCTGTAGATGGCCATGGCAACTGTAGATGGCCATGTCAACTGTAGATGGCCATGGCACCTGTAGATGGCCATGGCAACTGTAGATGGCCATGGCAACTGTAGATGGCCATGGCAACTGTAGATGGCAATGGTAACTGTAAATGGCCATGGCACCTGTAGATGGCCATGGCAACTGTAGATGGCCATGGCTACTGTAGATGGCCATGGCACCTGTAGATGGCTCTGGCACTAGTAGATGGCTCTGGCACCTGTAAATGGCTCTGGCACCTGTAGATGGCTCTGGCACCTGTAGATGGCCATGGCAACTGTAGATGGCCATGGCAACTGTAGATGGCCATGGCAACTGTAGATGGCCATGGCACCTGTAGATGGCTCTGGCATCTGTAGATGGCTCTGGCACCTGTAGATGGCCATGGCAACTGTAGATGACCACCAGATGACAGCAGCGTCGCAATCAGAGACATATGTTATCTATATGACATGTTATCTATATGACATGATATCTATATGACATGTTATCTATATGACATGTTATCTATATGACATGATATCTATATGACAAGTTATCTATATGACATGTTATCTATATGACATGATATCTATATGACATGATATCTATATGACATGAAATCTATATGACATGATATCTATATGACATGTTATCTATATGACATGTTATCTATATGACATGTTATCTATATGACATGTTATCTATATGACATGATATCTATATGACATGATATCTATATGACATGTTATCTATATGACATGTTATCTATATGACATGATATCTATATGACATGATATCTATATGACATGATATCTATATGACATGATATCTATATGACATGATATCTATATGACATGTTATCTATATGACATGTTATCTATATGACATGTTATCTATATGACATGTTATCTATATGACATGTTATCTATATGACATGTTATCTATATGACACGTTATCTATATGACATGTTATCTCTATAACATGTTGATTGAAGGAATTTTTAAGTTATAGCAAAATGGGAAAGGAAGTTAGTGGAGTATTGGAGTGGTGGGAAGGGACGCAGGCTTGGTGGAAGAGGGGGAGGCACTCAGCTGCAGGTTGTGGGACAGGCAGCCTGTCCGTCCTTCTGAAGGTTCCCCCCAACGTCAGGAAACTGTCGTACTAACGTGCCCTTATCCTAACGTACCAGAGAACCCAAAACAGAAAACGTTGGCTTAACCCTATATCCTGACACCTACACCCGCTTCCTACCTACCCCCTTTTTTACAGCTTGGGGGAACACTGACACTTATATCACATTCCCTACTGCGTCCCTCGCACGTTACAGCGCCGGATCAGTTAGCTGTTACTGCAGGCTTGCGGTATATGGTTCCTGCCGGCGCGACTTGGCCCGTAAGAGAAGCCTGAGGCTACTCAACCATTGCCACCGCCAAGTTATGTAGCTTAAAATAGGATATAATGCAATTAATTGATATAAGAGTCAAGTTTATTTTAGACAACTTACATACACAACTTAGAGATCATACACTTGTTTGTTACTTTCCTCCACTTTGACCTTTGGTCCTTTGACCTTTGGTCCTTTGACCTTTGGTCCTTTGACCTTTGGTCGAGCACGTGACAGACAAGGTACGACCTGAGAAACATATGGCGATATGTGGAAAAGAAATATATACGTAGTTATAATTCCTGGCTGATTGGATGACCAGGACCACCATAGTGACTGAACCACCAGGACCACCATAGTGACTGGACCACCAGGACCACCATAGTGACTGGACCACCAGGACCACCATAGTGACTGAACCACCAGGACCACCATAGTGACTGGACCACCAGGCCCACCATAGTGACTGGACCACCAGGACCACCATAGTGACTGGACCACCAGGACCACCATAGTGACTGGACCACCAGGACCACCATAGTGACTGGACCACCAGGACCACCATAGTGACTGGACCACCAGGACCACTATAGTGACTGGACCACCAGGACCACTATAGTGACTGGACCACCAGGACCACCATAGTGACTGGACCACCAGGACCACCATAGTGACTGGACCACCAGGACCACCATAGTGACTGGACCACCAGGACCACCATAGTGACTAGACCACCAGGACCACCATAGTGACTGGACCACCATAGTGACTGGACCACCAGGACCACCATAGTGACTGAACCACCAGGACCACCATAGTGACTGGACCACCAGGACCACCATAGTGACTGGACCACCAGG